AGCAGGTGTTCTTTACGCCGTGGAAATGGGAAACTTTCAACAGGAGCCCTTTGGAAATGCTTTATTTGATGCGACTCAGAAGCAAGTCCTGTTGAATTCAACGGTGCTTACTCCCAGGAAATGGGCTAGGATCGCAGCCTTAATCTGCTCAATGCAGTAATGATTTTGAATCTTTGTAAGTTGTATAATCTACGTTCAGAAACATAAAGGTTTCACAATGCAGCTGTTAACTAAAAAGGCAGAGATAAAACACAGCATACTGGAAAATTAAACTGTGGTAAAAGTCCGTGGACATAAAATGTGTTTGTGTTTGGTCATAATTTCTTCCTCAAACCTGCAGAGACAATAGGATAATTGCATGAACTATGTCAGGGCATTTTCACTTGAGGCTCAAAGGTTCTCTTGTCATCTGGTTATACATTGACCAAAATGCTCACTGACACATTTCCTTCTCATGATGACACTGTAATAGCAGAAGAGAGATTTTAGAGGCTCTGTGGGAAAATGCATTGTTGAACCTTAATACAGTTAATGTTCTTAAACTCCTCAGTTTTAGGTATGATGGGTAAGTCAGATGGATTGCTTTGGTGGGCGTGATGGTGGGCAGGGCTTCTTCCAGACCAGCCCCATCTTCTGCCTCTTGCCCCTGGGCCCTCTCTCTGCCCGCTGGTGCCTGAGTTTGCTTCTTTCCTCCTCCCTCCCGGTCCCTTTCCCCTTGGCGGCAGCGCTTGTGGGATTGTAAACCTGCAGACTGAAGCTGTCTTGTTTTAATTGATTGTATTCGAGTTTCTATGGGAGCCTTTTTTGGCTGAAGAGCAAGGGTACAAATGCTCTAAATTATTTTTTTATTTATTAAATTTCAATACCACCCTTCATCTGAGGATCACAGGACAGTTAACAATTCATGTATTTATTAAACTGCTTTGAGATTTTACTACACTCAAGCAGTATATAAAATTTAAGTGTGTGTGTGTAAAATTTTTTAAGTGTTTTTCTGTTATGACTTCAGAGTTTCCAGAATGTTAATATTTCTACATCGGAGATAAAGTAAGCAGTGTCTTTTGCCTTCCAGGCCTGGCAGGATGCGGGACTTCTTCTTTCAACCACAAGTAATGAGGCCTGTAAAATGTATGATGCTGCCCTGACTCAGGTAGGAATGAAGAAGAGATTATGGCACATAAAAACAATATTTATTCTAATGGATTACCTTTTGTAAATATTAGATACGTTTTCCCATATATTTTGGAGGGGTGAAATAAGAAAATTGCAATTACAAAGGGGCTGTGTTAGTCTTTCAGGTGTGAAGGGAAAATTCATATCAATAAAGGGAAAATAAAGATCCCCTTTAGTGATAAAATTCCCTTTAGTTTGCTTTTGCTATGCTCTCAAAAAGTATGAAGAAAGGTGAAGGCAATGGCTGTTTGATAGATGAATATTTTTATTACATTAACATACCACCTTAATCTTCGAGGAACTCAAGGTGGTGCACCTGGTTCCCCTCCTCCCCATTTCATCCTCCTCACAACCACCCTGGGAGATGGCAGCTGGGCCTGGTCACCCAGTGAGCTTCATGACTAGCTGGAGATTTCAACCCTGGTCTCCCAGGGTCTGGATGAGTGGAGTGAGCAGGAGCATTGCAGTCCTCAGCTGTTTAAGGCTCTATATTTCAAAACCAACACTTTGAATTCAGCACAGAAACTAATTGGCAGCCAGTGCAGTCAAGCCCAAGCCAGGATTGGCATTCTATGCTCAAACTCGTCTTGCTCTGGTGAGCAACGTAACCCCCAAATTCTGCACCACCTGAAGTTTCTGAACCATCTTCAGAACAGTCCCAGTTTTCCTCCACTTGCATTCAGGCCTTGCTGTAGCTTGTCTCATTGTCCTAAGTTCTGGACTATACCAAGGAGCCAAGCAGGCTCTGTGAAATGAGAGAAGTTGCTCATGAACTATAATGTCAGCAGCCTGAGCCATTCAGATGTTCCAGAGGTTGGTCAGGACTTTGACAAGAGAACCAGTCATAGTAACTGGAAAATCCCCCAGAATCACCTTGAAACCCACTGGATCCATCAGTCTCCAAGGGCAGACCATCCTAATAAGCCCCCTGGCTCTGCAGAGGAGAAAGGTGCTGAAAAGGCAGTGATCTGAACTTGACAAGGAACTGATGTCCATATCCTCCACTTTCAGATCAAATTATTATTATTAATAATTTATACCCCTCCCATCTGGCTGGGTTTCCCCAGCCACTCTGGGCGGCTCCCAATAGAATATTAAAAACACAATAAACATCAAACATTAAAAACTTCTCTGAACTGGGCTGCCTTCAGATATTATCTAAAAAGTCAGGCAGTTGTTTATTTCCTTGACATCTCATGGAGGGTGCCACTACCGAGAAGGCCCTCTGCCTGGTTCCCTGTAACCTCACTTCTCGCAGTGAGGGAACCGCCAGAAGGCCCTCAGCGCTGGACTTCAGTGTACAGAATGGACGATGGGGGTGGAGACGCTCCTTCGGGTATAAAAACGTTCCTGACCGGTTGAGAAATCAAGGTTCAGTGTGTGGCCTGCCACATGCAATGCACCAATGACATGTTGAACCAGCCCCATGATGGTCGTGGCAGCCATGAAGTCCTAAGCCACCCCAGAGACAGTTGCTTCAGTATGGCTGTTGGAAGTCCCTCAAACCAGCAGTCTGGGAGCTCAACACTGCCTTTAAAACCATCTCTGTCAGCTCAGGCAGGGAGACTGCTTGGCAGCGAGGCAGGTGGTAAACCAGCAGAATCCCCTTTTCTGTCCTGGTTGTCCAGTGCCAGGAACACACGCTCTAGATTTCCCACCAAGTGTACAAACAGCCTGGAGAGAGAGGGAGAGAAAAATCTCTGGACCACAGTATCTCCTCCTCCCCAGCACTCAAATCTGTCCTGATGCTGCTGCCCTAAGTACCTTCAAAGCCCTATACGGCCTAGGACCCTCGTACCTACGGGACCGCCTCTCCTGGTATGTCCCACAGAGAAATTTACGGTCTGCAAATAAAAACATCCTGAAGATCCCAGGCCACAGAGAGGTTAGGCTGGCCTCAACTAGAGCCAGGGCTTTCTCGGCTGCGGCTCCAATCTGGTGGAACGCTCTGTCACAAGAGACTAGGGCCCTGCGGGACCTGACATCTTTCCGCAGGGCCTGCAAGACAGAGCTGTTCCACCAGGCCTTTGGTCAGGGCACAGCCTGACCCCCTCCTCTGGCAATCTGCACAGAATGTGGCTTAATGGTTGCCATTAATTTGATTTTAATTAATTTTATAATGAATGTTTTTAGAATGTTGGATTATTTTGATTGTTGTTAGCCGCCCTGAGCCCAGCTTCAGCTGGGGAGGGCGGGATATAAATAAAAATTTATTATTATTTATTATTACCCAGGTGGGGACAGCTGGGTGAGATCAACTCTGCTCTGTTCACCTGTCCAGGCTCAGTGATGAGACCAGATAGGCTTCCTCATCCACATCAGGTCATGGGTGAGGGAGGTCTTACTCCAAGCCAGCCTGGCATTCATCAACAGACCCAAGGGTTGGCTGATAGGACAACCACCATCCCCCAGGTTGGAGGAGGAGCTGGCACGTGGCACAGTCACTTAACTTTGTCTTTTATTCTGTATGTATGCCAAGCACTTTATTTGAAAATGTAGGGTAAACATACTTGAATAAAACAAGAGGAGTCGCGGACGTTTGCCCACCCCCAATATAAATCTACGTTTTTAGCTGTTTCTATTTTATCTGTAAGCTGCCTTGAGACCCAGTCTAGGAAAAAGGCAGGTATAAACAAATTTAATAATACTAATAACTGCCTGTGCCATTTGCCCCTTACCCAGCCTGCACCACCTCCCACACCATACCTCCCCCACCTGAACCACTGCAATTGGGGAACCTCCCTGCTCTCCCCAACACGAGATCTCCTCTCATTCAATAAAAACAAACAACAACACACCCACCACACAAATTAAAAAGAGTTAAAACAATTGAAGCAGCAAAGCTTCCATGTGCAGCAACAGGACATGCTGCAGTCAAGTCAGGAACAACATTTTTTGCCCTTCTTGCCTTTGCAGGGAAATGCAGTGCTCTGCCCCCCTGCCCCCAGTAGTATCTTAGTTCCCGGAATCATGAACTCAACTCAGGAATAATTGGACTTATCTGTCCCAGAGACTGGAATAACAGAATTAAAGTTGGTTAGTAGTTCTGAATTCTGTATACTGTATTAATGGAACTAAGAAAATCACCTTAAGAATATTCCCATGGATTGCCACATGAGCCAGAAGCGGAAATATATTAAATTTGTTTTCTGCTTAATGTAAGATTCGCTTGCATGAGATGATGAAAAGAAACTTATCTCTTGAATTCTTAACCAGTGTATTGTTTGTATTTGTTACAGTATGTGACCTGGAAAAATGATAATAGTTTAGGGGGCCTTGAAGGAACTTTCTCAAAACTACAGGCAGCTGACCCTAATTTTTGTAAGTAACGAAATGACTTCAGTGCATCTTTGTGTGGCCTAATGTTGTTTCCTTGTAGAAAATGTGAAGTATTGGCCAAAAAAGTGTGTGTGTGTGTGTGTGTGTGTGTGTGTGTGTGTGGGAGGTGCAATGCTTATTTTCTTTGGGACCACCATTGCCCATAATGGTTGAACTCGGTCTCCTGCTGGCCCCTGGGCTCACCTGCCTGCCCATCCTCTCTCCTTCAGAGACTTAGGCATTCCGCTTTTAGTCACCTGAGATTTGTCATTTCATCTGAACAGAAAAACTACTCGTAACACTATATATGGTTACTTTAAAATAAACTTGCATTGTAAGCCATGATTTGAATCTAGATTGGCCAGTTTCTCACCATAGTCGGATCTTAAGTTTTGTTTTTCTTTAAAAACAAACAAACTAATGTTTCTAGTCTTCATGGGTTCAAATATATGGTGAAAAATACTTTGGATGTGATTCTTGGAGGTAAATGGATAGAACTTTTTTTTTTTACCTGGCCACCTTCTCTGTATTGAAACCAGGCAGGTTCCCTTACGTTACTCTTTTTGGAACCTGTCGAAAACATTTCTGTTTATGCAAGCCTATCCACATATGTAAACGTTGAGGTTAAAACACATCTTTTTAACCTATTGTTGATTTGAGCTATCTTTTTTATTTAAATACCTGTTTTTAACAGTCTTTTATTGATATTTTTAATCTTTTGTTTTTATTCTTTGTAAACCACATAGAGGTTCATTACAATCAGGCTGTCTGTATAGTTGAGAAAATAAAGAAATATGTTTGAGGAACAACCTATTATATAACTAAAAGATGACTATAGCTTTTATTTGTTGAGGGCCCCCTTTTCTTGGGCAATCTTTGAGGGCTGCATGCCCGAGCCCAAAGCAACTGGGAGCGCTCCCTTCTCGCTTTCTTCCTCTCTCTCTCTTTCTGCCACCGCTTTCTCTCCCTGCCCACCAAGGAGTTGCCAGTGGACACACAGATCACTCCTGTAATAAGTCTGAATTAATAATTTCCAGAGGGCTTGCCACCCTTTCACTCCATCACTCCATCAGTTTTGACTTCGTCCCCACTCCTCTCCTTCCAGGCTCCTCCTAAGCTGCATGAAATTAGGTAAAGGACTGCAGGTTTTGTCTACTGATATAATCTTTTACGTAAAGTTTTTACTTCTTGACTTTATCTGCAGTAATGGGTCATGTGATTGCTAATGGTTTGGTTCTGATTGGTACTGGGAGTTCACCTCGACTTGACAGAAAACTAGATGGTGCAATAAAGAAAATGGTGGCACTGTCACAGTCTCAGCCATTGACTGAACGAGAGAAATTACACGTTTCTGCATTGGAGCTCTTTGCTAATGGGTAAGTCCTTGGTTTTTAGGCAGTGAAGTTGGAAAGCTTTATTGCCTTTTCTGTAAAAACTAGCTCTCAGAATCTGCAGAACAAGCAGCTTATTTTCATTTTCTCAGGGGCAATGTCTGTTGTAAAAAACTTGATTTGGTGTACCTGCCAGTGCTATTTTTCTAGAAAAGGAAGTGCTAGAACTCACCACGAACACCTCCCTCATTCTCTTGCAGTGACATTGGCGCCCACCTGAGAGGTGCCAGAACTGAGTTCTGGTGAGTTCTGGCTGGAAAAAAGCCCTGGTACCTGCCCTCCCTACTTTCCTTTAAAACATTTCTGATTTTGCTTTTTTTCCTTTGCCAAACAATAGCTTTTGCAACATCTACCCTTGGACCTAAGGCATAATGTTATATATATATTTCAAAATTTTTATTAATTTTCCACATTTTTAAACACAAACAAACAAACAAACAAATAAACACAAATCAAAACTGAACTTAGTCCAATATTAATATCATAGTTAAATGACTTCCTCAAATTTCCTAGACTGAATTTCATTATACATCATTGTAACGCTTTTCCAAGAGTTTCTCATAAAATTGACTTACTCCTTAACATCTTTGTCTCTTTTCATCTTAACTTTAAACATATTGTTTTATAATTTCACATATTTAAGTCCTTAGCCTATCTGTTATTTTACAAGTATTTCTATTTAATTTATCTTAGCATATTTCGATAAATAGTCTTTAATTTCTTCCATTCTTCCTGATGTTTCTCCTCCTTCTGGTCACTGATTCTTCCAGTCAGGTCGGCTAGCTCCGAAAAGTCCATCATCTTCATCTGCCATTCCTCCACTGTTGGAATTTCTTGTGTTTTCCAATTTTTGGCTAATAAAATTCGAGCTGCAGTTGTGGCATACAAAAACAGTCTAGCATCTTTTTGGGGCAATTCCAAGCCTATTATTCCAAGAAGAAAGGCCTCTGGTTTCTTAACAAATGTATATTTCAACATTGTTTTCAACTCATTATAAATCTTCTCCCGGAAGTCTTTCACCTTGGGACAGGTCCACCACATATGGTAAAAGGTACCCTCCTTTTCTTTACATTTCCAGCATAGATTATCACTATTGTGATAAATCTTTGCTAACTTTACAGGAGTCAAGTACCATCTATACATCATTTTCATTATATTTTCCTTTAACACTGTACATGCAGTGAACTTGACCCCTTTCCTCCACAACCTTTCCCAATCTTCAAACATTATGTTATGTCCCACATCTCTTGCCTAATCTATCATCATGGATTTAACTTGTTCATCCTTTGTATGCCACTCCAACAATGAATTATACATGTTAGACAAATTTTTAACTTTAGAATTTAACAACTTCGTTTCCAATTTAGTTTTTTCCAAAGCAAAACCATTTTTCTTATCTATTTTGTACAATTCATTAATCTGGTTATAATGTAACCAATTTATTTTATCTTTGATTTGGTCAAATGGTTTTCATTTAAATCCTTCATTATCTTCCAATAACAAATCTGAATATCTCAACCACTTGGATTCCATATTTGACTTTTTCTGGTCCTTTGCCTCCATTGGCGAAAGCCATCTGGGTGTTTTCCTTTCTAGAAGATCTTTGTATTTAATCCAAACATTATATAGAGATTTTCTAATCACATGATTTTTAAAGCCATTATGGGCCTTTACCTTGTCATGCCATAGATATGCACGCCATCCAAACACATTGTCAAATCCCTCCAAATCTAAAACATCAGTGTCCTCTAGTTGTATCCATTCCTTAATCCAGCAAAAAGCTGCTGCTTCAAAATAGATCTTCAAATCTATTTTCTCTTTCTCTTTCTTTCGAGTCCGTTAGTAATTTATATTCGATTCTGGGTTCCCCCCCTGCCAAATAAATCTAGATAGTGCTTTTTGCCATTCTTTGAAACACTTCACATTATCAATAATTGGTAGGGCTTGAAACAGAAACAACATCTTTGGCAATACATTCATCTTAACTACAGATATCCTGCCCATTAATGACAATTTCAAACTCGACCAAATCTCCAAATCTCTCTTAATTTCATTCCATAATTTCTCATAGTTATCTTCATATAGATTCAAGTTTTTCACCGACAAATTGACCCACAGATATTTAACTTTTTTCACAAAGACTAGGCCCGTCTTTTCTTTGTAATAACTTCCTTTCCTCGTTGTCCATAAGGCATAATGTTATAATGCTATTTGGTAGCCCTATATATTGAGTGAAATAACGGATGATGTTTCAAATTGAGTTCTTAAATGAAAAATATGTTTTCAAGGCTCTAACCTGCTTCTAGCTTATTGTTGTTAATTGTATGGAATCTCTTCCACAAACGGTAGCTCTCAACACTTAGTGCCAATAGTTTTAGTTGCTCCCTTCAGACACAGAAGGATTAGAAACAGTTCCTTTGGGCTACTTCTTTTAACATGTAGCTCTTAAAATTAAGTCGTACCTGTGCTACTTGTGTCCCACAAGGACATACACAGCCCTCCAGCCACCCACAGGAGCCTGCTGGCAACTCCCTCCCCCCCCTGGCACCTAGGTGGTTAGTGGCCTGGGTCATAAACTGTGCAGGCTTGAGTAAGCAAATAGTACTTTAAAAAAAAGTCACAAGTAATCAGTAATTAAATATGGGAGATCTCATTCACATTATTTTAGCAGCATTGTACACCTTTAAATATAAGAATACGGGTCTATATTATGAAAAAGTCTTGCACGCAAACCCACAAAAGTTACCAGTTGGTGCAAACAACTTTTACTAACCCTCTTGTCCAAACAAGGTTATAATCTGTTGGCTAAAAGGGCAGGGGGGGGATACATTATTTATTGCAGCATTTCTTCCTGATTATCTGTGCGAAATAGGCACCGACTAAGTGAATGGATATTTATACGCCTTGAAGGATATTTATATGCCTTGGGTTTTTCCCCTGTGTAGGCAGCTCCCAAAAGCTTGTGACACCTGGGATCAAATCCTGCAGAACCACCCAACTGACCTGTTAGCCCTCAAATTTGCACATGACACTTATTTCTACTTGGGACATCAAACCCAGATGAGAGACTCCATTGCTCGAGTCTATCCTTATTGGACACCAGACATTCCTCTTAGTAGGTAAGATCATTTCGCTTCTGCTGCGCTCTCTGATTCTACTGCATGCTCAAATTCAAGAACCTCAGATAAGAAATATTATCAGATCTTGCAGTCCAACTTATTTGTTTATTATTTTAAAACATGTTTACCCTACTCTTCAGCCAAAAAAGGTGTCCAGATCAGTCTACAAGTGTACGATCTAAAAGTACATGTAAATCAACACACCTGGATTTTAGAGAAAGATTCATAATAAGAAGCTCAATTTTCAGAATAACTGAAAACAGAATACCCCCCCCCTAGTACTAATATTCTTAAGCAAGCGAGACCTGTGACAAACTGGAGGGCTCCCATTCACTATTCCCATCAGTCATCTGCATCCTCCTCCATGGTAAACCCTTCCATCCCCCATGGTTTTGTAAACCCCACCTGACAACTGTTAATCTGCATCCTGATCCCACATAATCCTTTCCTCATTGAGCTGTTTCCCACCTAAAGTGGTTGTTGTTTGAGGTAAACACAAATACAAACAGTTCCCTGAGCCTTACTCATACCTCCCTCTTGTGTGTGGTTGGTGCTGTTTGCCTACATAATGGTTGGCACTTGCCTTTGAACTTCAGAAATGGAGGGGAAGATTCTAGAAAGAGGATCTGAGGCTGAGAGAATGGAAGGCTTGTGTGTAAGGTGCCTGGCAGGCATTGTCAGTCTCCATGCAGCTCCTTGGCCAGTCGGATGCAACACGGAGGCCTTGGGACTGGAGAAGGACCTGCATGCAAATGCCATTCATCCTAAGGAAGTAGAGAGCACCCAGCAGCTCTTTAAAGGCCAGCGTCAGCATCCAGCCCAGGTCCCAGCAGGGAAGAGGAGGACCATGAGAAGAGACGAGGAACCCAGGAGAGCAAGGAGACAGATATGAGGGGAGAAGGCATATGGAAGGGTCTGTGGCTGTTAACTTCAGAGAAGAGAGGAAAGACTGTCAGGAAAATAAACTATATAAAGAACCAAACAGAGTAGGTGTCCTGTGATAAAAGGATGCAACCAAGTAAGGGACTCCCTCAAGGGTCCTCTGAGTACAAGAGACCACCTGGGGTTCTGAGGAACCGGGACCAGAGGAGGGATGGAGCTGACACGCTTTACAGACTGAAGTGAAATTTGGACACATGCTCTCATGTGATAAGAATAAAGTGTCGATTCCCTGAATGTACTAATTTCTAGTGAGAACCTGTTGCAAATGCTAGTTCTTATGTAGTTTCATCAAGTACAATTCTCTTTTCTATTTTAAGGTATTTATCAAGGTGCTATTAAGTAATCTCATATTGACTGTCAGTTTTTACCTTTTCTGTTTAGCTACTTAAAAGGCATGTACTCCTTTGGACTGATGGAAACCAATTTCTTTGATCGTGCTGAGAAGCTTGCCTATGAGGTAAAAAATAAAAAGGCTGAAATATGGGGTGTTCAAGTTATTTTTTGTGTAGGTGAGCGAGAGAGGTAATTGGTGGTAAGCTGGGTAGTTATTAGGGCGGTTCATTAAAAACTTTTTTTAAAAAATGCCGGCTCCAAAGATCTCATCTTACTACACTAGGGATTATATAGCTATATCTGAAATTTCATGCATATCAGTTAATATCTTGACCCTCCTCCACAAAAATAGCTGTTTATTTGGCCATTTCCCTATGTCGTGAAGGCTGAAATTTCAATTCAGTGGAGCAGGGTCAAGATATTAAGCGATATGCATGAAATTTCAGATACAGCTATATAATCCCTAGTGTAGTAAGATAAGACCTTTGGAGCAGGCATTTTCCCAAAAAAAGTTTTTTATGAATCGCCCTAGTAGTTATGCCAGTCTGGCCCATCAAGAACTAAAAGGAATGATTTTTTTGGCCTCTTTTGAGATTTCCTGGCTTCCCCAGTTTATATTGCCAGGAATGGGCACAGCTTGGGAGATACTGCAGACAATATTTTCATTTCCTTATCTCACGCAACCTCGTTTTGCTATTCTGATATCCTCAGTTTAAGTGACTTCCTCATAGGTGTCAACTGACTCTTTCCAGA